GCTCGACCCTGTGGCAACAGCAGTTGTGATACTTTTTCTCACTGAATCCTTACAATAACCATATTCTCTGCATGGTACTATCAATTTCTTACAAATGAGGATACTCAGGCTTGAAGATGTTCAATAATCTGCCCAAAGCCACTCTGCTAATAAGAGGCAAGTATTCACACCCAACTATCTGGATTCCAAAGCCATGTTCTTTCTGTCACCCGCCCCTCCATGTTGTTTCCACAGGAAGGTGGAGATTTCTTATTCCACCACTTCCTTAAAAAGTGTGCTATGAAGACTTACTCTCCTTAAAAAGTGTGCTATGAAGACTTACTCTCCGATTTGAAATTACAACACGAACCACAGGAACCACGCAAAAAGGCAACTGAAAGCTTCACGACGCAAGTGTGTAATGACGAGCCCAAAGGACAGCAAACCCACAGGTCAAGGAAGAGCGGGCCAACTCAGGAACTGGACATTTATTCATACTCACATACTTCATTTGAATATTCATTTATTAGTATCTGAATGTTAATTATTAAAATTTTTCACTTTTTAAACCAAAGGAATCTTAAAGAACAGGGGCTAATGTCTTGTAAATGCAGACCAGGAATGCGCGCATTCAGTAATTAGGGGTCTAACTCGTACATCACCAGGAAGGGCATCTACCACCTGGATAAGCCTACCTGATTTCACTACTGAAACACAAGGCCTGCAAAATTTATATTTACATGTATTATAAAATTTAAATATATTATTCCATTTCCATATAGAACTAAGGGAACAATTACAATTAAGTTCAAACAATTACAGTTGACAAAAGCGTAAAAAAGTTCCAATTAACATCTTAATAGATGGCTCTCTAGAGACTTTAACTGAGTTTTTGTCTCCACTTAGTCATTCAAAACCTTGAAATCCACGTCTAGAAAGAGAAGCAAAAACACTCACCCAGACTGGAAGCTCGTTCTGCTTTTTCTCAAGCAACCAATTCACAGCCAAGTTCCCAAGACCTGAATGTATCGTAAGTGCTCGAATTGCCTTGTTTATGTCTTTACTCAGAGCTAGTGATCAAACATTTGGGCCATTTGAACACCGGGTTTGGTTAACATCAATCTACCACGTGACCCATCAATTCCTCTATGAGGTATTTACCCAAAAAACAAGACAACATATGTCCATCCGAAGACCTGTACAAGAATGTTCACAGCACATTATTTATAAAAGCCAGAAAGTGGAACACCCCCAAATGTCCACTAACAGGTGAATGCATAAGCAAAACAGCCTAAAGTCATATGAAAGAATACTCTCAGGCAATAGAAAGTCAAGTACTGATACACACCACAGCATGGGCGAACCTCAAATACATTACGCTAAGTGAAAGCCAGAAGAAAAAGGCCACGTGTTACATGATGCCATTTATGACATGAAATGTACAGAACAGGCAAACTACAGAGGCAGGAAGCAGACTCGTGCTCGCCTGGGGTGGCGGGGATGGAGCGTGCAGACAGCCACATTTTGGGTATTTTGGGTGATGAAAATGTTTTAAAACTGGATTGTGGTGATGGCTGCACAACTGTAACTTTTACTAAGAATCACTGAATTATACAAGTGAATTTTATGGTATGTGAATTATACCTCAATAAAACTGTTAAGGAAAAAAAAGACAGCTTTAAAGCGTGCTAGCTATAAATCGTTCTGGGTCAAATTCAGGTCATTCACAGAAAGGAATGTATCTTTACAAAACGACCAGGTTCTGCATATGTATATGTAGGAGCCTTAGCCTGAAAAACAGTATTATTGGGTGTTCTACTGGAAAGAAAGCTTTATTTAAGAACTGCTATTTAATATGTTACCAACAGAGGGGCTCTTATTCTCCTGCAACACGAATCATTTAAAAGACAGCTGGAAGCACCAGCGGAGCTGCAGCAGCACGGCAGAGGCATTTTACTGCCACAGTAAAGATAAAGACAGAACTGCAATAGAGTTCAGAGGGTCTGGAAGAAGTCATTCCAGCTACAATGACAAGGAGTCTCTACACGCGTGTGCTCTGAACGCTTCTTAGGAAGGATCTGAAGGGCGGCAGAGGAACAGGGAGGGAGGCCAGGGAAGAGCAGGAGGCTGAGCGTGGGGTTCAGGCTGGAAGCTTCAGGGGCAGGAGGGCAGGTTTTCAGTAAGAGGACGTGAGGCCCTTCTTCTTTTTGGCTGTGCAGCTTGAGGGATCTTAGTTCCCGACCAGGGATCGAACCCGGGCCCTCGGCAGTGAGAGTGCAGAGTCCTAACCACTGGACCGTCACGGAACTCCCGCGAGGCCTTTTTATTTTTTAATTTTTGAATTTTATTTTTTTATACAGCCGGTTCTTCTTAGTCATCAATTTTATACACATCAGTGTATACATGTCAATTCCAATCACCCAATTCATCACACCACCATCCCCACCCGCCCTCGGCTTTCCCCCGTCAGAGGAGGCCTTTATTCTGAGTGGGCGACAGAGACCTGCAAGGTTCCAGGGCAGGGAAGTGACACGACTGCCGTGACTTTACAAACATTCATCTGACAGCTAGCTGGAGCTGGGGTGAACGGGGACCTAAGGTCAGTGACACTAACTAACTTAGAGGAACAGCAATGGAAAAAGAAAAGGCCAGATGCTTAAAACCAAACCAAGCAGGGATGAGGGGAACATGCACCAGAATGGGCGGCACTGGTGAGGAACGACACAAAGATGAAGGGGGCGTCTCTCAAACGTGGACTTTCAAATCTCCAAAAATTTACCTCTGGATTCCAGAATCTGACAGACACTGCATTACAAAGTCAAAATAACTTAACTATTGCTGGTGGGGATGTTCACTGAGACAGACGGCGACTGGCCACATCTAGTAACACCGCGGGTGCATTGACCCTTCCACCCAACAATCTCTCTTCTAGGAATCTATCCCCAAGATAAACTGGCCAAAAACTACAAGAAGTTGTAAACTCCTCAAGTTTAGTCACGCAAAAGACTGAAAATCAACCTAAAATCCACCAGCAGGGGATGGAGCACTAAATGATGGCGCACCCACACCGTGGAGCATCGTTTACGGCGCACCCACATCACGGAGCCCCGCACAGTTATGAAAAGGAAGGAGGGCGACCCCTACCCACTGACAACACAGTGACTTCCCAGTGGACACAGTCGCTGAAAAAACCAAGGTTCCCTGTGTGTGTGAGGGGAGGGGAGCAAATACTAATAACACACTTGGAAAGATCTCTGTTTTTCTTTTCGAAGAGAAACAAGTGGAAGATAAACCAAACACTAATACAAATGGTTACCCGTGGGCGGAGGAGAGGGGTGCAGGTGAGATTCAGTGGGGGTCCGTGGGTAGAACTCAGGGGGTTGCAAACGCGGGTGGGGAAAAAAGTACATCTTATTTCCCACTCACCTCTGACTGAAACCCGACCACTCCTCCGATTACGAATGTAGGCAGCAGTCCACAACAGTTTTAGCAGGACCTCTGACTTTGCCACCAGGAAATCACAGGTATTTTCATTAGTCCATGACAGTTATTGCCAGTATCATTTCTGCTCATCAATACTGTGGAATTACAGTAGCTTGGCATAAAAATTTTTATACCTCAAATAGGAAATATTGGACTCCCCTGGTGGCGCAGTGGTTAAGAATCCATCTGCCAACGAAGGGGACACAGTTTCAAGCCCTGGTCCTGGAAGATCCCACATGCTGCGGAGCAACTAAGCCCGTGCGCCACAACTACTGAGCCCACGTGCCTAGAGCCCGTGCTCCACAACAAGAGAAGCCGCCGCAATGAGAAGCCCGTGCACGGCAACGAAGAGCAGCCCCGCTCGCTGCAACTAGAGAAAGCCCGTGCACAGCAACGAAGACCCAATGCAGCCAAAAATAAATAAATAAATTTAAAAAAACAGGAAATATTTAAAATACGTTAACGTGTAATTCTCAGGGGTGAAGTTTGCTATTCTTTGTTGGACATCCTTCATGACTGAGAAGAGAAAAAAGTTACACTGTAAAAGTTATAAAAACATCTACCTGTGAGCCACAGTTGGCCTATAGGGTCTCAACCAACTGTGCTCTCTGCTTTAGGTAATAACTGGCAACAATTGTAAATAAATAGGAATTCACAAGCACAAAGTCTCATGGAAGTTCTGGGTTAAGTGATGACCATCTAGACATTCATAAGCCTGTTATTATAAAACTCCTTATGTCACTAAATTGAACACTCATTTAAAAAAAATTCTCATGCTGGAAAAAACCCAGGGGTAAAAGTGTTAAAGAGAAACAACCCAAAAGAAAAAGGTCATATTATTATGAGAAACTGATAAGTTATGTGAAGAAGTCTGAATCTAAAGGGAAGATGAGAAACTTAATTTTAGATATGATGAATGTGAAGCAATTAAAAGAAAAATACCAAAATGAAAATGCTCAGTCAGGCAGTTTGAAAATACACAACTGTAGCCCAAAGGAAATCGCACCTGTAGAAAAAAATTTGGTAATCTGCACAAAGGTAAAACTGTCGGCATTTAACGTGGATAAAATCTTCACAGCGTAAGGGAAGAACGTAACAGCGACGAGAACTCAGACCTGTATTTAAAGGACATGGGGGAGGCCCCCTCCCCCCGGCCCCCCAGGAGAGAGGAATGCTGCGAGCCGG